TGACCCAGAATCGTTGTAAAAAGACTGGAAAAATGCATAGTAAGTCCTCTCTTCAAAACAGGTATGAGACATAAGCCTGAGAACTATCGACCCGTAAGTTTGACCAGAACGGTTGTGAAAATTTTGGAAAAGACTATTCGGAAGGAGTTGTTTAAGTATTCTGACGAAAACCGGATTCCTTCTGAAAAGCAGCATGGTTTTAGAACAGGTAAACCCTATCTCACGAACTTCTTAGTAACCCATGAAAATTGTTGCGCATTTTAAAGACCAAGAGTTACCTATTATTCTAGCTTACATTGACTTCAGCAAAGCTTTTGACAAAGTTCCTTGCAACCAGCTGTTATTTAAGTTAAATAATATCGGGGTTGGAGGCAATTTATTAATATGGCTTAACGACTTCCTAGTTGGGCGCCAAAAAAGAGTACTGGTGAACTCCAAGTTGTCTAGCTGAAAAACAGTGCATAGAGAAGTGCATCTAGATACAGTTTTGGGGCCGTCGTTGTTCCTTCTGTTTGTAAAAAACTCTCCTAGTCTCTTATCACCATCGGTTTTGTTATATGCTGACGAGGTCAAGAGATGGAGAGCAATAAGAAGTAGAGGTGATATATTAGAACGACCTGGATAATGTTATCTGAATGGCACTTGGCGATAAAGGCTTCTATGTGGATTTTGGTGCATATTAGTCACTAAGGTTAATATGCATACACGGTGAATAACAGTGTGTTACCTGATATGAGGACACAAGACGACTAGGACGTCATCATTGACCGAGATTTAAAATCTACTGCACACTGCCGTGCTGTAGCCGCCAAAGTTTTTAGAACCCTGTTGTCAATACGTAAGGCTTTTAGTCATGTTGATGCGAAAAACTTCTTGACTTTGTATACATTATTCGTACAAGCTGCTAAACCCTGCTTAAAAAGAGACAGTGAGCTGTTGGGAAAGGTTTAAAGGACCATAGATAAGCTGATTCTCGATATAGTAAAGTTACCGTATGATGCTCGACTGGCTAAACTAAACCAATTTCCAATGTCATATAGAAGAACCAGAGGCGGCTTGATCACAGATTTTAGATTACTTAATGATTAATTTGCATCTCATATACCCTCACATTTCATGTTTTCCAAAACAGATAATTTACGAGAACAAGCCCAGAACAAATTACTTGACAGCTGATTATCGATTTCCCCATCAAATCATTAACGAATGGAATTGATTAAGGCTCCATCTATCAACACATTCAAAAAAAAGTTTCATTAAGTGAGAGACTACCATTACCAGGACTAACATAAACCACCTAACCTCCTGTCCTTTCCAAACTGAAATTGTACTATTTTAATATATTACAAATTCAGTGTGTAACTTTGCAGAATGACATAAATTAGTTTACTCTCAATAAGTCTTTTTTCATATAAAGCTCAACAGTATTTTAAGTAAAGCAGTTATCTACTGATAACAATAAATATATGTTTTACAGTATAACAAGTAAAACTTTAAATAATTAGTTACCAGTTCATAAGCTTAATAGCATCCAGCTCTTTTCAAAGTCTAAATGTTTCATATTCAATACATGCACACTCCCATTCCAGACATTATCATAACAGTCGGTAACATTGGAATCGAGAACGTGCAGTTCATCCTATTTTGGACTCATCAGATGAATGTACCTGTATTCCAGAGTTGATGTTCACGCCGGGACACGAACCCAATAACGTTTGTTTCAAACAGGAAGAAACGCATGTCAAACTACATTCCATTGCTAACCACTATCCATCTTTGCTTAGAATGTTTGTGAATTAAGGCTATATATAGGCAATACGCACAGGATGCATATATGCCAACATGAGACTGATCAATTGCAGTCTTAATATATTTGTAATATCCCAATATAATATCTCAATTGCAGTCTTAAATAACAATGGGAAGATACAAGTAAAACAACTTCAAGTGAGTTGATAACATTGTCGACCGCTTCACTTATCTTGGAAGTCTTATCAGCCCTTGTGGTCTGGTGTGTGACGAAATCTCAGCACGTATACAAAAGGCTCGATCAGCTTTTGCCAACTTACGTCATTTGTGGCCTAGGCGAGATATTCGTCTATCAACCAAAGGATGGGTTATCTGCACAGCAGTTCGTTCCGTCCTAATTTATAGTAGTGAAACATGGCTGGTAAGAGTAGAGGATATTCGTAGGTTACTAGTATTCGATCAAAGGTATCTTCGAAACATTGCTCGTATATCCTGGGACCACCGAGTATGTAACGCAGTTGTTAGGGAACTGGTACTTAGTAAGGATGGTAAATCAATTGATGAGGTAGTAAATCTTCATCATTTGAGATGACTGGGACATGTGTTACGTATGCCCAACCATCGACTACCCCAACGAGCGATGTTTCATGGTTTAGGAATAGGTTGGAAGAAAGCTAGGGGTGGCCAGACCAAAACATGGCACCAATCCATGAAGTCACTGACAAGTGGACTAAGCCATGTTTGTAGGTGTGGACTACTTGGTTGGGGACCACAAGATGATAGCAACCGATGGTTAGAGACCTTGAATGACATGGCTCAAAATCGTTTGCAATGACTCGCTCAGGTGAATCCACTCTTTGTGTTCTGTCAAACTCTAATCTTATGAATTCTTCATGTCCCTTTCTTTTTCTCTTTTCAAATTTATTTCACTGTATTACACTCCTTGAATAATATCATCAAATCCCTGCCCCCAAATGCCCTGGTACGGCCGAGAGTGGGGAGAGTCCGCTTACCCTCTCGAAATGCTCTCACATGGCCACGCGTATATAGCCTCTGTCAGGGAAGTCCTACTCACTGCCTTCTCGTGGCAAGGGTGTTGTTTACGAAAATGAGAGGACGATAAGCGAATGTTCGGCGCTTTAACCGAATCCCAAACCAATGGTGCACATGGGCTCCAGTATCCTGAAGGAACAAATGGCGTATGAACCAATCGTTGGTCACCAGCTACCATGAGACTGCATCTCCTCACGATGCTCCACTGCCTTGTGGATCAGACGTTCAGCTCGAAGGCTCGGGGTGTGGCCCCCTAAGAAAACCACCTGCTTCGGTTTGGGCACCCGAGCAGTATCACAGCCCTCACACAAATCAATTGAGATTCGTGTGGCGCATATGTATTTGGTGCCTCCTTGTACCAATACCTATGTGTTAAAATAAAATTTAAAAAATCATCAAACCCTAATTTTTCCGATTACTGCTTATACTTTACCTATCTCTACCACTACGGGATTTGAATCCATAACTAAATCTCTGTGCTAATGTAGTATGGCAACTCGAACTGATGTATGTACGTACGTACGAAGTTCCACCTTGTTACTGACGAACTGATTGAGTTGATAAAATTGTTCTAATTTAGAAAACAACTTTCACCTTTATATTTCTATGCTGACAAAGTGTTATGTATCAGTTTTAACATATTACTATAATTATTACTAATCAGTTAAACATCTTTAATATTGAAAAAGAAAACAATCTTTAAAATTAAATTATTTCATAATTAGATCATATCAATATTGATTTTTATTGAAAAAATATTGATTATTATTTTTTTAAATAGAATAATTCAATAATCTACCAAATCGATTGTGATCTACTCATATAGATATAAGATCTGATTAAATGTTGATCAATATTTAAATCATTATTGAATTTTATAATTTACTTTTTAAAGGACAATTAAATTTATTGATTATTTATCATAAATTGATTGTTGTTAAAAGAAGAATTTTATTATGATTTAAAACTAGTAATTTAATAATAAACGTAATATAGTTTATACGAATTATTCAATTATTTATTGAGTTTAAATTGATATTATAAATGGATCAATGTGAGATCATTATTGAAAAGCTGGAAGTACTGGATAGCCGTTTCATCCTAATATGGAACTTCTCAGAAGTACGCATCCATGATCCCACACGTAGGACTCGAATCTAATACCTTTGGTCTGAAATGTAAACTCTTAACTTTCAGACCATTGAGCAGGCATCGAAGGTATTGCATCAACCAAACTACGATATTATGCGATCGTCCTCTATTGCCTTCAGTGAATAACTGCCTCTACAACACACACGGTTGAACTCCACTGATCATGGCTTCCCACTAGAATTCCAGGAAATCAATCTTAGTGTTAGCCACTAGTGAGCACATGATAATTACCAGTTTAGGACAGTGGAGATCATTGATCCATTCATAATATCAATTTCAACTGAACAATCTTCATAACCCTATACTGACAATTATTTATTCTCTAAATTAACAACTTATACTTAATCAAGAATCATCATACATTTAATCTTCTATTATGACAAACTGAAAATGATAAACTTGATGAGTAAAAATGGATAGTGGCTAGCAGTAGAATCGATCTTCTTATTTAGATTCCACTGCTAACCAACATGATCAATAGTATTCGATCTGCACTAATAATAAGGACTAGACACGCATGACATTGGTCACCCAGTGATCAATCAATTGTGACTATCCATCTTTGCCTATAATGCTTTTGAATTAAAGCAATATCGAGGCAATATGCACAGGATGCATATATAAATCAATAACAGACTAATCAATTGCAGTCTTCAACCTTAATGGATAGATTCAAATAAACAACATCAATTGAATTGAAAATGATAAAAATTCAGTTTTCTAATATATTTCATATAAATGAAAGACTACTGAAAAGAATAGAGAAACATAATTATATATGATATTTCGTAGACATTCACTTTCACAATATAATGAATAATAAGCTATACAGTTGTTAGGATAAATCTAACACTTCGTTTGAATATATACCATTTGACCAATTACAAAACTTAAATATTCATCTTCTTTTGAAGTACTTAATACAAAATTGAATAAAACTTTGTATGAAAAGATTTTTACAAAAGATTTTTTCTTTGAAGAAAGAATTGAACAAATAGAATATGATGAAAGTTAAACAAGATAGTAAAAATATACTGTTGACTTACTTTATTACAACCAGATTTTAAAGCTTTATTCATAAGTATTTTTCTTTGATCCGAAGAACTATAAAATGGAATATAATCAATGAAAAGAAGAATAATATATCTAAATATCTGATGTGTAATTATATTAGAACTATAGTCATTTGATAATGTAATAAGAAGACGAAGATTATCAGAACTATGTGATGATATATTAGCGCAATACATTTCGAACAATCTGATCACACATTACATACTTGTTAAGAGCATTTATATATAAAAATAAGAGCAGAGGATAAACATCCATCATCCTCTATTGTTAAACATATAATTGAAACAGGGCACAAGATTGATCTAAACTCGACTTTTGTGGTATTATATAAAAGTGTAAAAAGGCGTATACTAAGGTTTATTGAAGCCTTAGCCATACGAAAATTCAAACCCCCTTTGTGTATTCAAAAACAGTTTGTTCTTACCTTAAACCTACCCTGGTAATATTGACTTATTATCCAGAGTGATTAGGTTTTGAATTGTGTTCAGATTATTATTAATATTATTATTAAAAGACTAGTATTTGAACGAAGAATATTCTTTTCGATAAATTCTCTTCAGGTTCTACAATTATATATCCAAATTAATAATCCGAAAAATGGCCAGTTTAAGGGTAAAGTACATAGTTTAAAGCATGTGAATTTAGGATTGTGGTAAATAAAATACAATAAAACTGTGCATGTTGTTATGACTCATAAAGAATGTTAACTTGAATCTGAGTTTATGTTCAGTGAGATTTTAAGATCTATGATCAGAATAAATATGGGTCAAGTAGGGTGAGAAAAATAATAGTGCAATTACCATTCGATCAAATAGGTAAGACGTAATAAGGAGGGAAGAATCATGTATAGGGGAGATTAATAATGAATACGAAAAATAATAATAACAATAATAATAATACAATGATTTATGAATAAAGATAACTGAGAAAATTACAATTGACTACGAAAGGTCATAGTCAAATTACGTCATTCAATAGTTAAGATTACGATTGATTAATTGGCCTTGATGTTGGCCAGGGGAGGAGGAGTGGTTGAATATATTTCTTCTGTACACATAGCTCCGGTTTCTTCATCCGGATGGCTATTGCTTCAGCTGTTTGAAGGACTTTCAGTCTGACCAGTTTGGGCAAAAAATTACTGACCTTATAAATAATTGAAAAAGACTGGTTTATACTGGCACTATGACCAGTTTGTACTAAATGGGCTAATATTGAGCTGTTCACTTTCTTCATCAAACCTTTGTTAAGCCACGCTGGAAGGTGTTCACGAGCACGAAAATGTAAATTCCTAGAACTTCGACCAATGTAACTCGCTCCACAGGAGCAGTCGAACTGATAAATGCAAAATGAGGTGGTCATTCTAGGTAATTCATCTTTTAGTCTCGGTGTAACCATTGGGCGCGTAGAAAACACTAATCGCAGTTCTCCGGCGTTAAAAGATTTTTGTATTGTCCTACGTAGTCTCTGAGTTAATATTTCACTCGCCACATCCCCTCTGAATTGTAAACGCATGAACAGGGATTTCTTCTTCACTGTTTGTATTTCGCCTATTTTCGCCTTCGTGATCATATATTTAGTTATAAACTTTCTAGGGTAGCCGTTCTCCCTGAGAGTATTATGCAAGCTGTTAAGCTCTTGTTCAACTATATCAGCAGAACATATAGCGCGTATACGATAACTAAGGGTTTTGATCAGGTTTCGTTTGTGCTGTAGAGGTACAAAGCTAAGAAAATGGGTATACTGTCCAGTCCATGTACTTTTTTTGTTTAAGTTCCTTTTCAACGACCCGTCCGCTCTCTTAGTCAAGAGAACGTCCAGAAAAGCTATTCGGCCCTCATTCTCTTCTTCTGATGTAAACTGCATGGCTGGATGTACTTCATTAAATCGCCTAAGAACCTCTTGTGGTGACGTATTATCTTTACACAGAATGAACGTGTCATCCATGTATCTACAGTAAAATGTGAAGTTTTGAATAATCTTTTTCAGTGGACCATTTTCTATTTTTGCTAGAAAAATATCAGCTAGTATAGGGCCTAGTGGTGAACCCATTGCAACCCCATCTGTTTGTCTATATATTTCACCGTTGAACTTAAAATTCACATTCATGGTGCATTTGAGTAATAATTCTTTCACGATATTAATAGGAACAGTAGTCTCGATTTCGTTTTCAATCAGTTGTTCACCTATATATTCTACAGTCTCAATGAGTGGGACGTTTGTGAATAGCGATGTTACATCCAATGACATCATCTTTAGACCCAGCGTATTTGCATTTTTGATTTTATCAACAAATTGGAACACATCCTTAACACTATATTTTACAAGCTTTTCGTGTAGCGGTTTCAATATAGTTACCAACCATTTAGCTATAGTATGGTAAGGAGAGTTATACATATCTAAAATAGGTCTTAATGGGATCCCCGGTTTGTGTACCTTTGGCAATCCATACAATCTCGGCAGATAGGTTCCTACTGGTTTAATAATTTCATATAAACTCGACGAGATTATTATTACTCTTATTATTATCCTTATCTCCTCTTACCCCATTTCCAGTCTAGTTGACCTTTTATTTTTATATATAAATGCTCTTAACAAGTATATGTGTGATCAGATTTTGTTCGAAATGTATTGCGCTAATATATCATCACATAGTTTTGATAATCTCCGTCTTCTTATAGTCATTTGGCTAGATATATCTATGATGTAATTGCATGTTGATAATTACTAGGCTGATTTACTTATAATCTCAAGGTATAGTCTTGTTTTCTTTTTTTTTTTTTTTGTTTTGTTTGAAGACTAGATGCTACTATAATCAAATGTGTTAGCCTTGACAACAGAATGGGAAGAATACTGATCGTTGTGATGTGTATTCAATATGACAAGATTTTTTAAAAAAAAAACAAACACTACACTACATTTTGTATCGATTCAGCTTCAAATTCTTTTAATATGATGTGTGTTAAGTATGACAATTACATTTATTGCATTTATTCAGATGAACTATATTCAGTGTATAATTTTAACAGTAACCTTGTATTTCTTTTTATATGTGTTAATGTAAAATGTATGTAAAATTAAGTAAATAACTGATTAGTTGAAGTTAGACATTAACACCGTTGGATCCCGACTGGATCAGTGGTCTGGTGGTTAAGTGCTCGCGCGAGAGACCAGTAGATCCCGGTTTGGAATCCCACGGGACGGGATCGTGGATGTGCACTGCTGGGGAGTCCCACAATAGGACGAAACGGCCGTCCAGTGATTCCAGGTTTTCCATAGTTGTAGTCTAGCTTCAATTGATTCATGATCTCAACAATTGAAATTACTAAAATCTCCACAAAACCTCATTCTGATTCTATTTTGGTATAATGATCAATGTGATTTGGAATGTGATTTTAGGGCATGTTTGGAAACATGTTTTGGAAAGATAACATATCTTCATTATATTAGTTATTCATATTCTTACTTTGTGTCGTAAGAATTCCGGTAGTTCCGCTTTTCAAAGTATAAGCAGTAGGATGAAGTAATTGAAGTGGTTAATGACTGTCAAGTATGAACATTAAAACTGTGAACCCGTTAGGGTCGATATGTACAAAACTGCGATGACATACAAATGAAAGTAACAGGGGTCGATCACTCAGATATAAAAGTATTAGAGTAAATTAGGAACAAATCATGATATTAAGACATTAAATTCACTTAAACTTATCTAGAATGTTGCAAAAGTTTATTCTTCAAGTAACAGAGGCTAAGAGCCAATAATGTTCACAATCAAAAGATCCTAAATAGAAGCCGATTGTAGTCACTTTTGATTATCGTAGAATATGAACAAGTAACTGATGGATAACTTTAAATCTATTTTCAATAATAAATTTCTCCTTGACCACACTTCACTACACTGAAATTCTATTGATAAAAAAAGAATAATAATGGCACCAATAGGCAACCGTTTAGGTGGCTCTTCATTTTGACGCCAATAAGATAGGACAGTGGTGTTATTGACAGACTCACCACTTTTAGTGGACTGGTATCTGACTCCGATTATATCGTATTATCATCGAAATATACATGTCTTCAACCCTTATATATAATCATCGACCTAAAAAGCGATAGTGAATATATTTCACACATTCGTTGATCTAGATAAACAATCAATGAAACACAGTGAAAGAAGTGAAGCGAAATGAAACGATGAGCAGTGTAGAAGACGAGTGAGCAAACTCCATTTAACCACGAGTGAATCGATATTTATAGTCAAATAAAAATAAGTTACAGATACATAATGAATAGAGTAAGTAATGAACACACATATGAACACATAAAAACGGACATGGTTAACAAACAAATAAGTGACAATGTCAAAATGTAGCTAGCTTGGTAAGAATGAATAAATTGGTCTGTCCAGAAGCTAGAGTAGTCTATGTACGCTTGCAATAATACCAGCCACTACAAAATATATATATGGAGTTGTGGAGATTATTAAGTTTTTGATTGAGATCATGAACTGATTGATATTAGACCATCATTGAAAACCTGTAAGCACTGGACGACCGTTTCGTCCTATAGTGAGACTCTCGAGCAGTTCGCATCCAGGACCCCGCTCACGGGATTCGAATCCAAGGCTTTCAGTCTTGCGCCTCTTGTCAGCATGTTATTAGCACTGTCTTCAAATACCCAATATAAAACAGATATAAACAATATATAACTTAGTATATTTATGGATTGTTACAAGTTGTCACATTATATCAGCACAGAGAGATGAAATTATCAAGACAAATGTCATGGTTGTGGAAGTCATAAAAATGTCAGTAGTAACATACAATATTAAGCATAAAAAATATTATTCAAGAGGAAAGAACGTAATCATGGGATAAAAAGTATCAGATAATTTTCAGACTGAAAGTCTATGGAAATAGGAGTTAATGTACCTACATCATTGAGATCGATTCTGAAAAATGTCACCCAACGTTTCAAAACATTGATCATGATGATCACGCCGATCACAATCCGGTAGTCTACACTTACTAACATGGACCAATCTAATAGTCAATGACTTTATGGACAGACTCCACGTTTCAGATTAGTTGGCTATAGCTTACTCCCAGTCTAGATCTATACAAGCGAACATAAAGTATTGAGATAGGCATCGCTTGAATAAACATTCAATAATGTATTAAGCTTTACAAAAAATTGAATTTGCTTTCGAAGCTACAACACTAGTAGTTTTCGATGTGACAGGATGGTAAGCTACAAGAATCGGTACCCGACTTTGTGAAGATTATGACGTTTTTACAAATCCTATGTAATAATCATATGGTCACGAGTTACCAGCGTCTATCATGAGGAATATTGTGAATTAGCTTAAATCTTGACAATTACAAGTTCGATTTTGAGCAGATGTACACTAATACACATTTAAAGTGCTTTTTTAATCAAGAAATGTCATAAAACATTTTCAAATTACTTCCTAGGTTACGTTTACTCTTTGACTGTATAGGATTTAGCCACCTATTTCTCAGAATTCTTCGTTTCATTGAAATGATATAGTAAAACACGATACCATACCTACGTATATATACTATAAGCAAATAATAACTCACCATTTCCGACTTAATAATCCTACAATAACTGAATCTTTTGTCGATGAATAACTTCTAAGTTGTTTACACCAATTGCTCAATGATGGACTAAAGTTATTATTACTGATATTGATTTCTGAGCATTGTGACGATTTGGTACCGGGCATACTGAAAGACCGGTTCGGCTTCAGTTTACGAACATCCAATACAACCATATCAATAATCTACGTAGATCATATAGAAAACAATGAATAGAAAAGTATGCAGTAAATCATTTGATTTCAGTAAGAAATTTTATTGAATCTTTTATTTTTATCCCGAAAAAATCAATAATTATGTCTACGCAAAATACTTCCGATGCGTTGACCAGACACTATTAGCAACAACCTACTATGGGACAGAAGAAACAAGATTCCAATGGAGGAAGAAATCAGGAAGAAGTGTTGGAAGTGGACAGGACACACATTGAGGAAATCACCCAACTGCGTCACAAAACAAGCCCTCACATGGAATCGTCAAGGTTAAAGGAAAAGAGGAAGACCAAAGAGCACGTTACGCAGGGAAATGGAAATAGACCTGAAAAAAATGAACAAGAATTGGATCGAACTAGAAAGGAAGGACGAGGACAGAGTGTGTTGGAGAATGCTGGTTGTCGGCCTATGCTCCATCGGGAGTCACAAGCGTAAGTAAATAAAGTAAGAATATTATGTTTTCTTATGATCTACCAACAATTTATTTATATTTTTAAAAATGTTATTATGTCAATTTATAATAATTAGTAACCAAGTCAAATACATTAATTGTAAGTCAGCAAGTCAGTCAGTCAGTCAGTCAGTTAGAAACAACGTGGAACTTCGTACGTACGTACATCAGTTCGAGTTGCCACACCACATTAGCACAGAGATTCAGTTATCGATTTAAATCCCATAGTGGTAGAGGTAGTGGAAGTATAAGTAGTGATAGGGAACATTAAGGTTTGATGATGTTATTTAAGGAGTATAGTTCAGTGGAATAGATTCGGAAAGAAAATAAAGGACATGAAGAATTCAAAAGATTAGAGTTTGAGAGAACACTGACAGTGGATGCACCTGAGCCATTGCAAACGATTTTGAGCCATTTCATTCAAGGTCTCTAACCATCGGTTGCTATCATCTCTCGGTCCCCAACCAGGTAGTCTACATCTACCAACATGACTCAGTCCACTTGTCAGTGACTTCATGGATTGGTGCCATGTTTTTGTCTGGCCGCCCCTAGTTTTCTTCCAACCTACTCCTACACCATAAAACATCGCACCTAAGTCAACCAGTTTGTAAACAATATCTTGCACCGAATAACAAGATTTGATCTGAAGAAATTAAATTACTAACGTAAATACATCTAATATAAAGTACAAAGGAATTGGAATTCTACACATGTATGGCTGACGCATCTCTTCAGAACATTAACAGAATACTAGAACATATGATCTTAAAAAAAATAAATCCAAATATTTGTTTCAATTTAATCTACAGTCACATGGAGGAATGATCAAACTATCAAGGTAATCAATATTTTACTTATCTATCACCAATTTTCTATTAAGGTTTCAGTTTTAAAAGTTTGTTTATTCATACAAACACACCCACACATACCACTTCCACCCTCTGTGCTTCACTTCAAAGGATACTTTAACAAAAATCTAAAGTTGACCTTAAATGAACTTGGTTAGTAATGACCTCATTACCTAAATTATTAATCCTGTAAAACATTATTGATTTTGTTAGCTGAAATCATAATAAATTTTATCCATGTTTATCAAAAATGGGTTTTACAAAGCAAATCTTCTAATTAAAATAAATGATCAAAACATCAGTTACAATGAAGAATTTATTTATTACATGACGACTAAACTAAGTATAAATTTGATTAAAGATACAAATTGATCTTAGTTCGATAATCAATGGAAACCTAAAAGTATAAAGCAGTAGTCTCGTCCTAATATAGGATTCCTCAGCTGTACGCCAGTACCTATATACAATTTCATATCTGGAAATAGAATATATCATATTCGGTATCACGCACGAACGATTAACTCTTTTAGACCAGTGAACCGACATTCGACAATATTGACATCTCACTTCAATTAACTTGCGATAATGCGAGACGTCACTATTTGAAGAGAAGCATGGAATACAGTGGACATATAAGATGCAGTTGGATGATCTAGACTTTGAAGATGATCTGGCTCTTCGATCGCACACGCAACAACAAATACAAGAGAAGACGATCAGTGTAGTAGCAGTAGGTTTCAACATACACAAAGGGAAAAGCAAGATTATCCGATACAATACAGCATGAAACAATCCAATCACAATTGACGAAAACGATTTGGAAGATGTAAAATCCTTCACATATCTGGGCAGCATCATCGATGAACACGGTGGGTCTAATGCAATTGTGAATACGCGGATCAGCAGAACAAGAGCAGCATATTTACAACTGAAGAACATCTGGAACTAGAAACAACTGTCTGTCAAAAATACCAAGGTCAGAATTTTCAATACAAATGTGAAGACAGTTCTACTGTATTTGGCGAAATCTTGGGGAACAACGGAAACCATAATCCAGAAAATACAAGCGTTTATTAACAACTGTCTACGCAAAATACTTCAGATCCGTTGGTCAGACACTATTAGCAACAACCTACTGTGGAAGAGAACATACCAGATTCCAGCTGAGGTAGAAATCAGGAAGAAGTACTAGAAGTGAATAGGACACACATTGAGGAAAGCATCCAACTGCATCACAAGGCAAGCCCTTATGTGGAATGCTCAAGGCCAAAGGAGAAGAGGGGAAGACCAAAGAACACATTATTTTGAGAAATAGAGATAAACATGAGAAAAATGAACAAAAAATGGATGGAACTAGAAAAGCGGACCCAGATAAAGTGAATTGGAGAATACTGGTCGGCGGCCTATGCTCCATTAGGAGTAACAGGCGTAAGTAAGTAAGTAAGTATGTTCGATTAGGTATTGTGGATAACTGTCTGACATGTGACAAGTTTGGACTGCATTAATTATGGTTTCTCTCTATAACTTTGGAAATTGTCTTTATAAGCTTATCATTAGTAATCAATTGATAATTGTCAGTGGAGCATTTTTTAAAGTGAAACCTAAAGGTTAGTCATTTAGAAGCAATAGTAACTGTTACTAACTTTTAATACTTAAATTTAGGTCACTCATATTTCAAGGACTTTCATTGAGTAAGAATTTCGTTTAATCATAATCATTATGTTGAATTGACTGCTAATAGATGCATTCAAAATGTTAATATTTCTAAAGTCTGCTATTTAGTTTCGTGTGAATAGTTTCTTGTTGTGATTGTTGAATTAGTTTGATGTGAAGGAAAAACTTCCTATGATAAATTAGAAGTTGTTCCATTATTTCATTTCATATTATATTTCTATCTATCCACATTATATTTCAAATAAACCTATCGTTAGTGAGTACACGAAATCTTTAAGGAACCATTACTAGTCGAGAGATTTGAATCCGCATAACCAATTATCATGACTGAGTACATTCTCAATAAGTTATTCAGTTTATAACTGACTATTTGTGAAATAGATTTAGTTAAATGAACTTATTTTACAAAGTTAAACAAATATGTATTCGAAGGGGTTTTTGTAAATATTATAGTAATTTCAAAAGTTGAGATCATGAATCAATTGAAGCTAAACCACTAGAAAAAACTTAGAATCACTGAACGGCTGTTTTGTCCTATTATAGAACTCTTCAGTAGTGCATATTCAAGATTTCACTTTTCGAGATTCGAACCCAGGACTTATTGATCTCACGCGCAAACGCTTAAATTCTAAACCACTAAACTGGTATCCAATGGTGTTAATATCTAATTTCAACTAATCCACGAAATTGAGCAATACATCCAGCATTATTTTCAATGAATTACTATTTCACAATAGATCCGATTGAATTCTAAATATATGTATTCTTTCATTATTTCATAACAAATCTTATTCATTATGTTTTGTAATTAAACAACATTTCTATTAGATAAAGTTTGAACCAGAGATCTTTACATTCAACGTAAGTAATATAATAATAAATAAATAAATAAATAAAATGTACACTTGTATATGTCGATAAATACAGTAGTATCGAGAGAGAGAGAGAGAGAGAGAGAAAGAGAGGGGGAGAGAGAGAGGGGAGAGAGAGACAAAAAGTACTAACCTGTTGTAAATCAATAAGCTTTTCATTCATTATCTTATCTATATCTTTTTTTGTTGTATTCTCTATAATTGTACTGATCAATGTACAATTATGTTTTAATTGTTGAGCTGCATCAATCATTAATTGAGTTTGTTTATCAGCCTGTGAAAAGATTAATACAATCTGAAAAACAAAAAACAAAAATAAAACAAAAGAAAAACTATGAAAGAAATCATGTATAAATAGATAAATATTCATTATGAATAAAATATTTTACTATACTTAAATAATCTTAATGAAAATTCAAGTATTCAATAAGATATTCCCTTATGATTTTATTATGATGGAGTTTTGTTCTATGAGCTGGATGGTTTAGTCGTGGAGCTTTCATCGTTCTTCTGAACGATCCATCAAAATCATCCACCTGAGCTACAAATCTTTTCCACTATCTATGATTTTATTAGTTATAAGTTAAATAAAAGTTGGTTTGAATTATTTTTTTCTGGTTAGTGTTTTTTTTTCTTTTTTATTATAGCAAGTTTGTTTTCTACGGAATAGGATTAACTAACCCCATGCTCAACTCTTCTCTTTTATCCGAGCTTAGAATCGGCAATAACTACAGAGAGACTTTAGGCGGAGTGCAGTCTTTAAGGTCAAATGGAAGACCAATGAACACATTACGCCGAGAAATAAAGACAGATATGAGACGAATGAACAACAATTAGATAGAACTAGAAAGGAAGGTGTAGGACAAATTGGATTGGAGAATGTTTATGCTCTATTGGGAGTAACAGGCGTAATTAAGTAGAGTAAATAAAAGCTATACTTGAAATATGTTTTAAACATAAATACTTGGAAACAAGAAGATATAATTATTATTTTATTTATTTTAACACATATATATTGATACAATGAGGCACCAAATACATCTGCGCCGCACAGATCTCATTTGATATGTGTGAGGGCTGTGATACTGCTCGGGTGCCCAAACCGAAGCAGGTGGTTTTCTTAGGGAGCCAAACCCCGAGCCTTCGACGTGAATGTCTGACCCACAAGGCAATTGAGCATCGTGAGGAGATGCAGTTTCATGGTAGCCGGTGACAAACGATTGGTTCATACGCCATTTGTTCCTTGAAGATACTGGAACCCATGTGCACCATTGGTTTGGGATTCGGTTAAAGCGCCGGACATTCGCTTTTCGTCCTCTCATTTTCGTAAACAACACCCCTCCACGAGAAGGCAGTGAGTAGTACTTCCCTGACAGAGGCTATATACGTGTGGCCATGTGAGAGCATTTGGAGAGGGAGAGCGGACTCTCCCCAATCTCGGCCGTACCAGGGCATTTGGGGGCATATATATATATATATATATATATATATATATATATATATATATATATATATATATATATAAAGGCCTGCTTGAATATCTGGGCTACCTGTTCCTGCCATCTGGATATTTCAACAAGTTATCTGTTTTCTTGTTAGCTCTAACACATCATTATGTGTATTAGACTCATAACCTATTCAGGTGCGTTTATGAAAAGTTTACGACATTTCGCTGTACAAGTTACAAAACAGCTCAATCAGAGACATCATGGTTACTGGCAATATGCATTGAAAAGGATATACATTTATCAGATGTCGATTCTTGAACCGCTAACATCTAAGTGGCGACTACTCAATATTTATCGCAAGGAATTGATCAAGAAATAAGAAAGGGAAACTTATTGAAATACTTTGTGCTGAGAATTCTATATTGTACCAAAAATAGAATATTGAATAAAGCCACTAATGATAATAATAATCATTATTATCTATTCTATAAGAGAATTAATCATTGCAAAATGTTCAATACTTTTCAAGTTCATGAAATAAACTATATAAATTGAATCAATATGAATATAGTTATGATAACAGTTTTCCATCTATTCAAAGATCACTAGAAACTAGTTCATCATAAACAATTACTATCTTAATTGATAAGTCTAACACTTGAAAGCTTAAAACACATTGAAAAACATACATTGTATTACTTATAAATTCATCTTTAAACACTACTTAATCAAGTTAGTCTTAGTTAGAACACAATTGAATAATTGGTTGTCGATTCATCGTTCTAGATATTAAGCATTCATATGCCATCCAAATCAGAGGTGTTTAAGTTCTATCACATCAAATGTCCAGTTGTCAAGAGTTTCATCTTAAAATGAAACAGTCATTTAATCATTCCAACTTTCCAATGATAGTTTAACTAAGATTAATTCTTGATATTTTGGTCAGTTGAAAATTCAAAAAAAAAAATTTTTTTTTTCACCCATACTATCATCATTGAATATCCTATAGTGTATATAATAGACTCCAAATTGTAATTCAATGATATTTTCCTCATTATACCTATGATTCTTCTAGATTACATCATTCATTTAAAACATTGAACATAGACTACTTAAAGAAAGTATGTTATTTAAATATAAAATCAATAATTATGACAAGTAACTAGTATATTTCAATACAATATTTATATACATGTGTATACATGTATGTATATCTATTCCACCCCTACCCCCCACCCCCACCCCCTCCAACGGTAAACGAATAATAATAATAATAATAATAATAATAAATTGTGTGGTTATACTAAAAGTTTGGACCAAAAAAATGATCTTATTTCTGTGTTGCTAACTGACAAAAAAAGTAATTTATAGAGTTAAAATAATAAATACACATCTTTCTCATGTATCCTGTAAACTGTTTATCGATTATCGATGTATTGTCAATTTATTCACTGAATAAGATAAACATTCGAGATGGATATTATATTGACATTGTAGATTGATTGTACATAAAAGATGAATGTAAATGTTCGTATGTTTTTTTTTATATTACAAATAAATTTGTTAAAATGATATAACTATTATGATAAGTTAATTAAAAATAATCAGAATACTCAATCAGTCAGTTACAATGTAGGATCAGGTACATATAGGCATCGGTCCAAGTTGCTATACTTCATTAGTATAACAAGATGAACACTGGATTCATAGAAGTAGTTAATTCAGTGATGATAATATATAAAAGATGAATCCAATCACAATTAACGGAGAAGATTTGGAAAATGTAAAAACGTTTAAATATTTCGGCAGCATCATTGATGAACACAGTGGATGTGATGCAGATGTAAAGGAGCGAATCGAAAAAGCATGAGCAACATATTTACAACTGAAGAACATCTGGAACTCACAATAACTGACAACTAACACTAAAATCAGAGTTTTCAATAAAAATATCAAGATAGATCTATTATATGGAGTGGACACTTGGAGAATTACCACAACCATCATCCAGAAGATACAAGAAATTATTAACTGTTGTCTGCTCAAAACACTTGAGATCCGTTGGTCAGACACTATCAGCAACAACCTACTATGGGAGAGAACAAACTAGATCCCAGTGGACGAAGAAATCAGGAAGAAGCACTAGAAGTGAATAGGACACACATTGAGAAAAGCATCCAACTGCATCACAAGGCAAGCCCTTATGTGGAATCCTCAAGGCCAAATGAGAAGAAGAGGAAGACCAAAGAACACATTACTTTGAGAAATGAAGACAGACATGAGAAAAATGAACAAGAAATGGATGGAACTAGAAAAGAAAGCCCAGGTTAGAGTGTGTTGGAGAATACTGGTCGGCGGTCTATGCTGCATTGGGAGTAACAGGCGTAAGTAAGTAATATATAAAAGAAAGATTGCATATAAGGACAGAATACTACAGGAAGTATATGCGATTTACATAGACGGTAAGAAGTAAGGAGATTTTCCGAAAATCGGTAATATGATCAGATTATTTTTAGACAGTGCTTCAAGAAGCATCCTAGAATGTCAACACCAAAAAAATCAGAAGAAGAGTATATCTTTCTGTAAGTTACATTGCGTATAATGGCACAAATAACTTTTCTGGGGATATCTGAAGTAATAAAGACCCTTATAATTCAATAAATATCTTTTTACCCCTAAATATAGATTAATCTTAAATGAAAAGCTTGATTTGTATTCCTGGTTTCTTTTATCGTTTGAGATTAAAAAGTAGAATGATTAGAACCTAGTCTACAAAATATGCAAAAAAGATCTCATTAAGTTTATTGCTTATCTGATAGATTTTGTGGTTAGCGTTCTTTTTTTAGCGAGTTAGTTTTCTATGGGATAGGGTCACTAACCTCATGCTCAACCCTTCTCCTTTACCTGGGCTTGGGACCGACAGTAGCCCCATAGGGGTTCCAGGTAGAGTTTTATCTGATAGATAGTGATACAATATAAATTACATGAATGTTTTTAATAAATTTCGAAGTGTGAAAAGGGACTAATCACCGTAAAATGTAAATTTTAGTTCGCAGCATTTAATTTTACTCTCATAGTTTGCTTATTGTTCTTGATAGTTTTGTGAAAATATTGTATACGAATTCAAAATAAGTCTGTGAAATGGTCAAAAACTGACTGATTATTAAAATATGTACGGGAACTAAGTGACTATCTTCATTGTAGATTTAGAAAAAGGAACATGTGTCGATGGACTGGAAAGAAGGAGTGAGCCAATTCCATTTAATCACGAACGAATGGGTATTATAAGTCAAATAAAAATAAGTTACAGATACATGACAAATAGGGTAAGTAATGAACACACATATGAACACATAAAAACGGACATGGTTAACAAACAAATAAGTGACAATGTCAAAATGTAGCTAGCTTGAAAAGAATGAATAAATTGGTCTGTCCAGAAGTTAGAGTAGTCTATGTACGCTTGCCATAATACCAGCCACTACAAAATATATATATGGAATTGTGGAGATTATTAAGTTTTTGATTGAGATCATGAACTGATTGATATTAGACTATCATTGAAAACCTGTAAGCACTGGACGACCGTTTCGTCCTATAGTGAGACTCAGCAGTTCGCATCCAGGATTCCGCTCACGGGATTCGAACCCACGGACTTCAGTTTCGTATGCGAACGTTTAATCTCTAGACCACTGATTCGACATCCGTTGGTGTTAATGTCTTACCTCAACCAATCCATGAAATTTTTTAAAATTCCTTTTCTTTTATATCTTTTGAGACATTTATTTCAAACAAATCTTTTTGAAATAAGTAAAAAAAAAGCGAATTGATTTGTTTGATTTGCTTA